CAGCTATCTTCCACTCCCCACTCTTTAACAATTTGAAGATTTTTTTTTTTTACAAATTAATGAAATTATACTATGCCAGTTCCGGACCTCTTATGCAATAAAGGCAACTTAGTGGGGTCCATTATTTCTAAAAAAAATAAAAATAATAGACCTCAGTCCTCGTTACCTTGTCTCTATTGCATAATATAATTATAATTATCTTATGCAACATAAGATAAATAAATCCCTTTATTAAAAAGATAATTTATGTATAAGTAATAACTTTTCAAGTTTTATTAATATCATATTAAAGGAGATAAGTTATCTCCTGTCATAGAGACAAACTTGTAGGCTCCACCACCTGAAAAAATAAAAAGAAAAAAATGACACAGTTATCGAAATATATATATGAAAGAAAATTTATCTCATGTAACATGAGAATAGTTTTTTCCTTAATTTTTTTATATAAAAACACTAATTTTTTTAATAAAAACACACTCTTATTTGATATTATAAGCATAACGATTCACTTCGTAAAATAGTGGAGGGCTAACTCAGTCCAAATGTATTTGGCTTCATCTAAATATTTCTAGCCTAGCTAAAGTTAGTTATTGGGCTACAATCATGTAAGCTACTACACCACTTAGTGTTTCTTTTTTCTTTTATTAAGTGTGGCACATTTAATAACAGATCAGCCCAAACCCATTAACAAATATGAGCAAGTATTCCGTGCAAAAAATTAAATAAAATATAAAAAGTAAAATTAAACACAATATACAAGAAAATAGTATTCGGTATTCTATAATATATTACATAACTGAATTACGTAAATTTTTAAAATATGAATTGAAAAAATATTTAAACTATAAAAAATATACATAATTAATTTAAAATAGTTTAAATTTAAAACTCAAAATAAAAAATAAAAAAATAACATGTGTTATTCTTTAACACAAACAATTTGAGGGGCAAGCGTGGCCCTTCCCCTACTTAATTTTATGTAATTTTTTTAATAAAAAAGTCTATAATTGTACGTGCAGCCTACTAATACTTAAATATTTTTATCACTTCAACTTGATTTACATTTTTATTTAATATATTATCAAAGTTTTAACTTGCAGTCTTTTGTAGATATTTTATATATCCATCCTTACTATAAAAAAGTACACACAAAAAATTAACTGCTTTGAAGAGAATAAATTATTTTATATATAAAAATTTATTACGTATTTTATTTAGTTCATTTTCTTTGTCATTTTGGTGAAAAGGATAAAAATTAAGAAATATAAATCAAATCTTAATTTCGGGACTCTTTGATTTTTAATAAAGAGTCACTCTACTTTATTGTATCACATTATTTTTGTCTACTTTACTAAATTGAAAAATATAATAATCTTTTACAGATATGTGGAAAGGTTATTCATAATAGACCAACTTTTGTGCCTTGGATTAAAAAAAACGACAATTAAATGAAGTAACAATCTCCAAGAAAATAAATTTTGTCAAGAAGCACAATTTCATTATTGCAAGCGATAGTCAATATCGTATAAACTATACAATTAAGGAAATATTATAAGACTAAAATATTTAATTCAAATAATAGTAAGGAAGTGCATTAAAAATTATATAACTTTGGATATTTTTTGGGTACGAATAATTTGGATATTTTATTCTGTAAGCTTTTATAGGGATATTATAAAATGCAAGATATGAGATGAGATCCACTTTATGATTAAAAATATTAATAATTAAGATTTTGGTTTGCAACAAATATATGAATAATAAATTAAGGGTAATATGATTGTGCTGTTACAAGAAATATAAACACTTTCCTGTAGAGACAGAAGTTTAGGAGAGAGAAGAAAATTGAGGTGAGAGAAAAAGCTTTTGTGGGCTCCATCCGTGGAATGTCTCTGCAGGAAACTCATTATATTTTGCTGTAACATGACTAACCAATTACCCATAAATTAAATTGTTAAAATGCTTTATAATCAACGATTATTAAATATATACTTTATTCTCTGAATCATAGGCTTTTTCACCCTTTTGCCCCTTATTAATTAATTAATAACCATTTTGCCCCTGATTCGAAACTATTTATCAATCTGCCCCTCTTTAGTCGACTACCTTGCATTTTTAATCGACTAAATGGCCAAAACAGACAAAAAATGGCTGCTGGGAGATTTAGTCGACTAAATCTCCCTATTTAGTCGACTAAATCTTCATATTTGACAAAAAAAAAATAAGTCAGTATGATTTTAATCGATTAAGTAGGGAGATTTAGTCGATTAAATCTCCCAACAACCGTTTAGTCGATTAAAAATGTAAGGTAGTCGATTGAAGAGGGGCAGATTGGTAGATAGTTTCGAATCAGAGGCAAAATGGTTATTAATTAATTAATAAGGGGCAAAAGGGTTAAAAAGCCCTGAATCATACCTTTGACTTTAGAGAATCTAAATTAAATGGATTATGGTAATGGGTTTTTCCGATTGAATATGGGTGAAAATGTTTAATTTTTTAATATGAATTCGTTTTTTCTAAAGCTATTTTAAAAAAAAATTGTCTAAAGTTCATCGAAATTATGTTATTTTTAGAAGAAAATCATGGTGTGTTTGTAATTTTAATTTATTTCAGGGTTATAATAATTTTTATAATTTTAATTTTTTTAATCTTTTAATCCCAAAATTATATCGTTTTGACGAATATTAGACAAATTTTTCTAAAATAAATTTAGAAACTTTATTCCCTTTTAATATATACTGAATTTTCTCATGATTTATGTATGCCTTAAAGTGATGTTTAAAGAATTTTTAATAAGGAGGCTAGAAATAAAGAACAAGAAAGAGAAATAATAATGTGATATTTATCAAAAAAAAATGTTAACTTTATTTTGAAGACTTTACAAACAAATACCTCAATAAAATGAATTATTATAACGGGACCATTGATTTTTAATTTTATTAAGCATTATGTTTTCTTTATAAGGTAACGTGATGTGCCGTGTGCATACTATTCCAATTCCAACTACACTGAAAAGTGGGGCACAAAGTTGATAGATTCATTGCCTACCGATATTAAGGGCAGTAATTGCGGTCTCTTGCAATTAACGCAACATGGTTTTCCCAATAATAATCATTTTTTCATATCCGCAACAATGAATTAATTTAATTTGAAGAAATTCCCCATAAGCCATTCCTTCAAAAAATGTAACTTTTACACAACCAGATTGATGAAAGATTTAACTGCAATTTAAAACATTTATTATTTTATATATTTGCGATAATTTGGGTTGATGAGTCATGTTTAACCTTTCAGTTTAATATGGCAGGAATAATTATTTACGTCAAAACACTTTTATAATAACTAATTATAAATCAAATTATAATAACTAATTATAGGAAAATAGTTTCTGTTTAAAAAAAATTAAAAAATACATCGACATGAAAATTATTTTAACGTAAAATAATAAGAAAGAAAATCAAACATCGATTTAGAAAACAATAACGGATTAGGCTGGCTTGTTAATTATCCTTTCGGTATATTGTAATAGAGATTTAAATTTGTAGTCTCATTTGAATTAACATTTTTTTTTTATAAAAATTTATTTTAAGATGCATATGAATTCCACCAAATTTAATTCACTTTATTGTTGTCATCTTTTATTGATGTTCGTCTAGCAGTGTCTTTCTTACATATATTGCTCATCTTGATTTATAAAATATATTTTTTGCACAAATTTAAAAGATCTCCGGTGTATTAGTTAACATGATAATATTATATGAGAGGATCCTAATTATTCATGGGTAAATCAACAATTATGATTTTGTCGCTCCTTATTCTAATATTTTTCATTTTTTCATCACCATTAATTTGTCCATGAATAATTAAAATTCTCTTATATAATATATCATGTTAACTAAATATTAAAAGATCCACTCTCATTCAAGTCACTTACTTTAATATGAACTACTAACTACAAAAGCATGCAAAAATAATCGAAAAAGAGTAACGGAAATATTTAATAATATTAATTAGGTTTAATTAATGACTAATTGATTTGAATATTTATCATAAGTAATTATCTTATATTTTTTGTTGGAGATTTCTATACCTAGACTCGAATTCAAGATGATTGATCCATTTTCCCGGATAGTAATCATATGATATTTAGTTTATGATTTTATGGAATAAGTTATTTTACCTACTTTTTTTTTATCTGCCTTTGTCTATTACCTTAAAATACCGTTAGATCAGAATCTCAAGAAAAGAAAAAAAGATAAATATTAATTAAGATTCTGATCTAATAATATTCGAAGGTGATAAGCAACGCTAGCAAGAAAAAATAGTCTGAATAACGTATACTGTAAACTAATCTTTAACTGAAATGTCATTGTTTCCGAGTAATGTCATAGCATCATTTTTTTTAAGTTCTACCTAAATTGTTGATCCAATCGCATTTCACATTGAACATTTTGTTAAAGAAAAAAAAAATCATTTATCAGATTTCAGTTTACTTCTTTCTTTCTTTTTCTAATTAATCTTGAAGACAATCACATTAATAATTGTAATTAGAAAAAGGAAGAAGTCAAGTAAAGGAGATGATTGTGCATTCCCACAAACACAGAAATTAGATTGTGATTTGTAATAATGTGATATAAAGTCACAATATGCATGCTTTTGCTTAAGGACTCACATCTCCATTGTTACTGCTTCTTTCTCGGATCTCTTTCATACCCTTTCTCTCTTTTCTTTTTCTTCTTCACATTCTTTGCACAAGTTAGTATTTTCCATCCTCTCTCTGTTTTCGCTTTCTCTTCCTGTCAATTCTATTCTGAAATGCTCTTGTTGAATTCTAATCGTTTTTTATTCAAGTTGTGATCCGATTTAACTCTTTCATCTCTCAAAGTTTGTATCTTTGTATGTCATACGCTTAAATTCCGTGTATTTTCTTTTTGGGTTGTACATTTGCTGTTTTTACTGGTTTATGTGATCTGATGCAAAGTGGGTTTGTATGAATTTCCTTTGTAGGTGAGAGATGGCGCAAATTTTGCTTCATGGGACTCTCCACGCCACCATCTACGAGGTTGATAAGCTCAACGCTGGTGGTGGTGGGAATTTTTTCAGCATGGTAACTTTTTATTTTTATTTTGACTTATTTGGATCCCTGCTGAATCTGGTGATTCAATTGTTGATTTTGAGTTGCAACATTTTGGTTTTTGAAGTGTTATGTGTTTCCATTTGCGTTGGAAATTCTTACATCGAAGAAATCTCTGGATGGCGGTGGTCCATTGGATTTAAGCTCAAAATGGATCGTTCTTCCTTTGGAGGATCCGGGATTTGTTTTATTATTGGGTTTAGTGTGTCATTTAAAACGACACAAGTTTTTAGTAACTTATACAGAGTAGATAGGTCATACTCCTGTGTAATTCTAAAAGGTCGCTTCTTCTTTTTTCACTTTACACCTCAGCGATGTGACTGAGGATAGAGAAAAGAAAAAGCTAACTTTTCATATTTACAGAAAGTATGACAGATCATACTTTGTGTAAATCATCTACAACTTTTAAATGATACTTCTTTTTTCCTTTATTATTATATATAATAGAAAAAGACACTCCTCCTAATATTGTTTTCCATAATGGTAAAATGATTGTTAGAAGAAAAAGGAAGCTAAAGATGATGCAATTATCAGACTATCCCTGAACCTCAGTGCAAATGATTCATAAGTCATTTTTCTAGTACTTCCAATTGTTTACAAAACTCTGTTTGAATTCTATCTGCAAACGATCTGTGCAGATATTTAAGAGCTTTTGCCTTTAAAAACAGAACAATGTTAATCTCTATTAGTAATTGTAGTCGAGGCTTCCTTAACCAAATCTTAATTAGTAATTGTAATTTAACTGGTTGCTTTGGTCTTCAGTTGAAATTACCTTATGTTCATTCAAGTGGTCTTGTATTTCAATGATCATTAATTCTATCTTATGTATCCTTTGTTACAAATATGCTATATTTTATCAAAAAATTTAGTATGCTACTGCCTTAGTTCTTGAATTTTGATTTAGTGACTTAACTTCATACTTGCCAAAGCTGGATCAAATCTTTTTTTAAGTGTGTGCTTAAATGCATTGCCTTATCTATTAATTATTCTTTTGGCAACCGATGCCCTAATTTCTGTATCACTGCAGGCATATTGTTATCCCTGATCATTCATGCATATTAACATACCTTTATGCACATGGTGAAAAGAGATTATTTGATTGCTTTACTTTTGCTCCTATATTTTCCTTATTCATTATTATTGACTCATTTAATGCTTATTCTACTATAGATCAAGCAAAACATTGAGGAGACAGTTGGTCTTGGAAAGGGAGTTACTAAACTTTATGCAACCATTGATCTGGAGAAGGCAAGAGTGGGAAGGACCAGAATGATAGAAAATGAACGTACTAATCCCAAATGGTATGAGTCTTTTCACATTTATTGTGCCCATATGGCTTCAAATGTTGTATTCACTGTGAAAGATGATAATCCTATTGGAGCAACTTTGATTGGAAGAGCATATGTGCCCGTTGAGGAGCTCTTGGATGGTGAAGAAATAGATAAATGGGTTGAAATCTTGGATAAGGATAAAAATCCAATACATGAGGGTTCAAAGATCCATGTGAAGCTGCAATATTTTGATATCACAAAAGATCGCAACTTTGCTCGAGGCATTAGAAGTCCTAAATTTCCTGGAGTTCCCTATACTTTCTTCTCACAAAGGCAAGGATGCAGGGTATCTCTGTACCAAGATGCTCATGTGCCAGATAATTTTGTCCCTAAAATACCACTTGCTGGAGGCAAGAATTATGAGCCTCATAGGTGTTGGGAGGATATTTTTGATGCAATCACTAAAGCAAAACACTTAATATACATTACTGGTTGGTCTGTTTATACTGAAATTTCCTTGGTAAGGGATTCTAGGAGGCCAAAGGCTGGGGGAGACACAACACTTGGTGAGCTTCTCAAGAAAAAGGCAATTGAAGGTGTAAGGGTTTTGATGCTTGTTTGGGATGATAGAACATCAGTTGGTTTGTTGAAAAAAGATGGATTGATGGCTACTCATGATGAAGAAACTGCCCAGTTCTTCAATGACACTGAAGTGCACTGTGTTTTATGCCCCCGTAATCCTGATGATGGAGGTAGCATTGTTCAAGATTTACAAATTTCTACCATGTTTACTCATCACCAGAAGATTGTGGTGGTTGACAGTGAGTTGCCAAATGGAGGGTCAGATAGGCGAAGACTTGTGAGTTTTGTTGGGGGCATTGATCTTTGTGATGGAAGATATGATACAGCCTTTCACTCACTTTTCAGAACCCTTGACACAGCACACCATGATGATTTTCATCAACCTAACTTTCCTGGTGCTGCAATCACAAAAGGTGGTCCCAGGGAACCTTGGCATGACATTCACTCCCGGCTTGAAGGACCAATAGCATGGGATGTTTTGTTTAACTTTGAGCAGAGATGGAGGAAGCAAGGTGGAAAGGATTTACTTGTTCCACTGAGAGAGCTTGAAGATGCCATTATCCCTCCATCTCCAGTAATGTTTCCTGATGATCATGAGACATGGAATGTTCAGTTATTTAGATCTATTGATGGTGGGGCTGCTTTTGGTTTCCCAGAGACTCCTGAAGATGCTGCCAGAGCTGGGCTTGTTAGTGGGAAGGATAATATCATTGATCGAAGCATTCAAGATGCGTATATTAATGCTATTCGACGTGCAAAGAATTTCATCTATATTGAAAATCAGTATTTCCTTGGAAGCTCTTTTGCCTGGAGTGCTGAGGATATTAAGCCCGAAGATATTGGTGCTTTGCATGTAATCCCAAGGGAACTTTCACTTAAGATTGTTAGTAAGATTGAAGCTGGGGAAAGGTTCACGGTGTATGTTGTGGTTCCAATGTGGCCAGAGGGTGTCCCAGAAAGTGCATCAGTTCAGGCAATATTGGACTGGCAGAAGAGAACAATGGAGATGATGTACAAGGACATTATTCAGGCACTGAGGGCTAAGGGAATTGAGGATGATCCTCGGAACTATTTGACATTCTTCTGCCTAGGTAATAGGGAAGTGAAGAAACAAGGAGAGTATGAGCCTACTGAACAACCAGAACCTGATTCAGATTATAAGAGAGCCCAAGAAGCTCGGCGTTTCATGATTTATGTTCATACCAAGATGATGATAGGTAAGTCAGAACAATCTTACAAGCTGCAGCCATCTTTTACTCTTACATATAAATAATTTATGTTTTGATGCCATAATATTGGATTTTATTTTATTTTTACTCATTATTGTCACTATTATATATATATTTTTCCATTGCAGTTGATGACGAATACATAATCATTGGATCTGCCAACATCAACCAGAGATCAATGGATGGTGCCAGGGATTCTGAGATTGCAATGGGTGCTTATCAGCCCTATCATTTGGCTACCAGGCAACCTGCAAGGGGTCAGATTCATGGTTTCCGCATGTCATTGTGGTATGAACACCTTGGCATGCTTCATGACTCCTTCTTCCAGCCAGAAAGTGAAGAATGTGTTAATAAGGTGAACCAGATTGCTGACAAGTATTGGGATCTCTATTCTAATGAGTCACTTGAGCATGACCTTCCTGGACACCTGCTCCGCTATCCTATCGGGGTTTCCGGGGAAGGAGATGTCACAGAGCTGCCAGGATTTGAATTCTTCCCTGACACCAAGGCTCGTGTTCTTGGTGGCAAAGCTGACTACCTCCCCCCTATCCTTACTACTTAGTTTGATTTTGTACTTTTGTTCACAAAACTGTGACTGCTTATATCCTAATCTTTGTTTTCATTACTATTTGTGGTGTTAGAGTAATAATCTTAATGTAGTATGTGATGTCTTGTGGAGATGTTTTTGTTTTTTCTGAAGATGGCAATGTCAGATTTTGGTGATATGATGTTGTTGGCTGGTATGACTTTAGCTGATTCCTAATCAGTCTTGTTTTTATCCCAGAGTGTGATTGTTGTTTTTCAACCTGCTTTCTGGTTTAAATTATGGGTTCCTTTTTCTCATGTCACAGGAATTTCTGCAATCGTTTTTTAACTATGTATTAACGGTAGTATATAGTTATAATATTAAAGTTTTTTTTTTCTCTGTAACTTTATAAAACGATTGCAAGAATTCCTGCAACATGAGAAAAAAAATTTTGCCTTAAATTATTCTGAGCGGGTTTAACTAAAACTGTCTTTTGAATACAAGCCACATAGATACAAGTTAGAAATATTTTAAAAGTCTTAAATACACAATTAATCTTTTATTTAAATGGTAGTAGGGGCAAACCTCTTTAAATGGTGGAAACAAGAATAGAAAAATCCTATAATGTACACGGAGCAATTTGTTTAAGAGTTTTATTTTTCTTACGTCACATAAGATAAATTTTCTCTCCAACTCTCACAACAAATGGTGGGACTTACTTTATTTTTTAAAAAAGAAAAGAAAAAAATAAAACATAGAAATCAAAGTGAAAGTAGGAGATAAATTTTTTCTTATGTGACATAATAGAAATAAAACCCTTTCTTTAAATAAGTGGGTCCATCACTGTGTGGGGTTCCCTCAGATTCCCCTCTTATGCTTGAAATTTCAACATGCGTGCATCCAAACAAGGATGGCAATAAACGAAGCAAGTGTGTTTGTGATTAAGCCAACCTTTGCAGATCAATTTCTCGCACACAACTTGTGTACGAGGTAATTTCTCAGTGTCATGTCCTGGGACACCATGTTGGCTGGGAAGGCCCTTGCAATTTTTCAAAAAAAGTTGTGCTATATATACTGTATAATACCTTAAATAATTCTTATATTTCGAACAATATTGTATTGTATATAGGTGTTAGCAGATGCAGATTCTCTACAGTTTTTTAAAAACAGTACACAATCTGAAGCAGAAAAAAATTTTAAGCTTATAACCAAAAATATAAATAAATAATTATACACGTAAATTTGTTAAATATAAGCCGTCGGATTGAGAATAAAAGTAATGCATTTTTATTTCAGACTGCAGAGGTTCCAGTTCCAAAGCATGCTATTATTTGTGAATGCAATGGAGTGTTCTAAGATGGATATGCATAAATGTTTTTCTTACCTATAAAAATTATGTTTGTTAAGAAAAATACATATATGCATTATTTGTGACTCATTCATAAAAAAAATGATAAATTTCTGTATAGAAAGCATTGAGATAATGAGACTTGGATCTGAATATAATAATTATTAAGACAATATTTTTCTCATGTTACATAAAAAAAGAAATACTAACTCAAATTTCGATAGATGAGTAATATGATAAAAGCTTTCTCACGTAATATAAAAAAATTATTCTCCTAATTATTATAATAGAAAAGGTCAGTTCTTGTGATAATTGAGGAAACATTTTGAAAGCGAGTTCCCTTTTTTATAAAAGTGTGTTATAATCTAGAAAGTTTTACTTTAAAGATAGAAAACGAGGAGGTTCGAGTTGGATGGCAGTTCCAAAAAAGCGCACTTCCATATCGAAAAGAATCATTCAAAACACTTTTTGGAAAAAGAAGAAATATTGGACAGCACTGAAAGCTTTTTCATTAGCCCAATCCCTTTTTACAGGGAATTCAAAAAAGTTTTGTTTCTAATAAAAACAAATATTGGTTGGAAAAAATGTAATAATATAAATTACACCGATTTGCGGAATTTTCTCGAATACTGATGTAGAATAAGAATAAAATATTGAATGTATGTAAAACCCGTTTTGTACTAAAAAAAAAAAGAAAAATAATTTTCTCATTTTATATAAAAAAAAATTTTCATGCTACACTCACAATATATGAGTGGGTCACATCTCGATTTTTTTGTCTTATCACTTTTTTGTAGATCCCACTTATGTATTGTATGTGTAGTATGAAAAAATTTTCTCATATAAAATAAAAAAAGTAATTCTCAAAAAAAAAAAAAAAACATGAGAATGTCGTATAGGAGATTTTTATTTTGGGTTATGTAAAGGACAATAGTCAAATCTAAAATATTATTATATGTTTCTGCATCTAATAACAGCAGCCTCGTAATTAAAAAAAATGATATCCAAAAAACCAGAATCTAGATGAATGAGATACTAAAGTATTGCTAGTTGTCCAAATTGGGTTGGTCAAATATGTTAGGCTACCTTATAATTAGATTAAGTGGTGTTCCCTTTCAGTTCAAGAAGGTCCTACCTTATAACATCTTGAAGAAGGAACAACGATGGCTCCCCTGGCTCAAGATTCAAGCTCTGACACACCAATGCATCCAAAACATGTCAGTGGTCCATTTTGTTTGACGTCACTCGCCACGTTAACTTATGTTCATGAGCCAAATTGATCCCCTCACAAAAGCTCCAATTACTTCTGTTCCCCTTTGTATCACACTAAAAAAGGGTAGAAATATTTTTTTAAAGTAATAGTTGATATTTAATATACTGTTACCATATAGAAACGTTTATATTACAATTATTTAAATATTCATTAAAACAATAGCTCAATTGACGACATAGATTGCAAGACTGAAAGATGGAAAATTCATCATTAGTTCAGTCATAATATGATAATATAATATAAGAAGTGTTTTTTTCCTTTAATTATTCTGCAGTTTTTTTGTCTGAGTTGTTATATTTGACTTTTAACTTTCAAAACAAAAAAAAAAATCAGAGAAAACATCTTTTAACTATTTTACAAAACAATTTAAAAAAAAAAGAACACAATCAAATATGTCTCCAAACTTTCTATTCATGAAAAAGATTTCAAAAATCTATTCTTTCTATAAATCAGATTTTCAATTGAGAGATTTTCTCTATTAATATTGGCATGAATCAAATTCAAACCGTATAATTATTTTAGCCTGGTTGAAATCCTAAAACTGTTAATATGATTTTATTTAATTTTTCCTTTAAAAGGGGATTTAACAGAACATTATTTATTTATAGAACAGTTATGAAAGCAATAAAACCTTGCCAAATATTTTGATAACACCTTAAAAACCATGAGCTGTACAAAGTCATGCACCTATTTACAATATAGGAAGTACCGATATTTCAAAAACTCTGACGTGTCATGTTCAATATTTTCTGACACTCTCCGACTCTCTAACACAAGTCGTAGAAACTCAAAAAATAGTTCAAAAATTGTCTTGCGTTGCGTTTTTAGTTCCAACTATTAGATTTGTTAGATTATGATTACCATTTTATTGAGTTTAATATAAATATTTAGAATATCTTATGTTTCTTTACAAAATTGATGAATATTATAAGTTTAATTTCATTTTTTATTAAATTATTGAATATTAAATATAATATACAGTACATAAATTTAAAATATTATTTGTCCTAATGTGTCAAAATCTAACATTTCAGAATTAACGTATCTGAGGAATATCGTGTAGAGTCGGTGTCACGTATCTGTATCAGTGCTACATAATTTGCAACCACAAGAATAATAAGATTTTTTTTTTCGTTCTTCTTCTTCATCACATAACACCCTTCCCATATAAGTCTCGATGATTGAGAGAGTAATGAGTTTATACATTCAATGAAAAGAGTAAATACGAAATTTCTCTAAACGAAAACACACACAAAAAATTAGAAAAAACAGAGTCATTTTGTACTGTGATCAGTGAGAGAACGCCATTCTGTAACTTCGATCCCTTAAAATCCCATTATACAGAGCAATTCTGTTCTCTGGCATTCCACGTGTTTTCGGTGTTTCATTTCTGCAGTCGCTGCTCGATACTCTGTTTTGCTTACTCTGTTCTTCTCTGTTTTCATCATTTGCATCTCTTGCCACTTCTTTCACCATCACATATTCTGCAAATTTCACTTTCTTCTTCTTCTTCTTCCTTTCCCTTTTCTTTTCCTCTGAAAAAAATAAAATAAACAAGTGACGTGAACAACTCATACTCTAAAAATTTCGTCAACAAAGTTAGGTGAAGTGAAAAGAACGATTGAAAAAAAAAAATAAAGTTGAAAGAAATGAGTTTAGATTTACCTGAGCATAAGCAAGAGCGTAGAATTTGTTTATTAGAGAGGGGAGAATTTGAATTCCCATGAAATGGTGAAGAAGATTTTTGCTTAGAGAAAGCAAGGTAAAGCACAGTGCTTGACAAAACCATAGCTGTGGTCAAAACAAGACCTTGGGAGATCGAAGCCATGTTTTGGGAACAGAGCAAAAGGCAACAACGTTGTATTGTGAGAAGAATTAGGAACATAGATGAGGACTTGAGTTGACCATAAGAGGGAGAGCCGTATTGTTATATAAACTTAAAAGCCCACATTTTAAAAAATTCACAATTAAAAATAAAATTAAGGAAAATTTTCTTAATTATATTAATCCTAATGTGATAGTAATAGATTAAGAACTGCATCTCCAATATTTTTATTAGGCCCAAAAATATAATCTATGAGATAGGATATTGTGACACATAAATAATGTTACGCACAATGTTACGATCACATCTTAACCGTTGATTTCCGTCAATCAACGGTTATCATTTATTACGAATTAATAATTAATTAATGAGATGATAATCGTTGATTGGCGGAAATCAACGGTTAAGATGTGGTCGTAACATTGTGCGTAACATTAATAATTATAACATAGGGAGTGATTATACTTATTATTATTTTTTCTTATTATCTCTTACTACAAAATCTTAACCATTGATTTCTTCCAATCTAATAATTATAATTTATTAGAAATTAATAAATTAATAAGTATGACTCAATAAATTACAACCGTTAGATTGACGAAAATTAACGATTAAAATTTAGTAATAAGAAAAAAAATAATAACTATAACATCTCCCAATTATATATACATATTCTAAACCTTCTCTTTTATTATCTCTAAAATATTTCTCTTATAAATAAGGGCATTAAAATTCAATATTAATTAACCAATCTTGGATTGGAAATCTCGATCCGAACAAATATAAATATTGAATAGAACGGTGAGTCATGAGTGAGTGTCTTTTTGCGAACCTTCGTAGGTGGTAATGGATGGAAAATTATTAAAAAGAAATCGGAAATTTTCATCAAATATGGTAGGAACGAAAAAAAGAAAAAGAAGAAAGGAATGGCAGTGGTTGATTGAGTAATTGGTTGCCGTGTCAGGATAATGTCAAATAATTAAGAAATTATTCCGATAAATGTTTTAAATTATTTTAAAAATAAAAAAAGCATATTTAATATTTTATCCAACAGTACAAAAATGATATTAAAAATAAAAAATGAAACTGGCCGTGGTAGACAATATAACCTGCCTCGAATTAAATGTAAGAAAATCTGGTCAAAGAAGTTACTCTCCTTCTAGAAGAAAAAAATGGTCAGAGAATTGGACGTTGGAAGTTGCATTGTTATTGTTATTGACTTATTGTTATGTGAGAACGGGGAGACCATATAAAATAAAACCACAAAAGGAGTAGTTGACGACTCAACACTGCATTTCATTATTTTTAATTATAAACGTGTAATATTGTATTAAACTATAAATGACGACTACCATTCAGTAATTAGTGGACTGACTCAGGATAAACTGTATTTGGATTCTTTCATGAAAAAATAATCATGTGATTATATTATTTGATCACAATCATTCATTGATGATGAGATAAGAGAGAAAAATATATATGATTTTTAAATGAATGACTATGATCAAATAATATAATCACATGACCACTTTTTCATATAAGAGTATCCAAATTCAAATAAATTTTACTTACAATAATTTTGAATATTTATTTTTAAATTTTCAAATATTCTTCATATAGTATTATTCAATGAGAAATATAAATTCGTAATCTTTATTTATTTTTTCTTTGAACCCTATTATCTTACAAACTTTTCAACAAACTTCATTGCATTATCTTGAAATGCGCGAAAACTCATTGAATGGGTGTCAATTGTTCCTTTCCCGTAAATTTGTAATGGTAAAATTATAAATTATCTGCTGTATTGATGTGTTCCACACAGAAAGTGAGCTTAGAATGCAGCGCGGTACTTTTTTTTTTTTTTTTTTTTTTGATAAATACAGCGCAGCGCGGTACTTTAACTAGTATTGGTACTAGTTATTTTTTACGACTCTTGGGAAAATAAATTTTTTAAATTTTTAATTTTCAGATATTATCGTAAACGGAATATTTTTATCATATTTTTGAAAATTGAGATTCACGTATAAAAAAAATTCTCCTCTAACAAAACCCATTATATATATATATATATTCAAAGAATTCGTCAAAATATTTTATATATGAAAAATTATAAAGACTAAGGAATACAAATTTATGCTACATTATTTTTTAAGTCTTAATATAGTCTAAGACAAAGGTTTAATATAATACACAAAAATTAATAAACATAAATGAAGACGAATTTATACTATAATACTTTTTTTCAAATTCATAATATAATTTAAAACAAAGGTTTAGTAAAATTGAAGGTGGTGATCATCCTCTGTAAGTCAACTACTAAATACAAGTAAAGGCCCTAAATCAGAATTGAACAAATAATATAATTATATATATGAGATAGAATTAGGAGTGTAAATAGGTTAGGTTAAGCTTTGGTTTAAATACGTGAGGCCTATGTAAAAAAAATTGGTTTTGCCCTGGCCTATTAGCCTGTGTAGGCCCCAAATTATAAGTTTGGTCTGATCTATATTTAAAAAATAAAAGCTTTGACCTAAGTTTGTTAACCTGTTTAAACCTATTAAACATTCAACAATTAAGAGAATAATTAAAATAATATTACTTTATTATTCAAAATTATTAAAATAATAATTTTATTTAAAATAAATAATATGATATAGGCCGGCCTGTAGACTTTTTTTTTTTTGAATCAAAGGAATTACAAAACAAAATTACACGCCTCTAACTAGGCGAGGACAAGCTACTCCTATAACATCACTACTCAATAAACTAAGACAATCCTCAGGAGGATTAGCCAAAAAGACAGTCTCTCATCCTTGAGATGTTGCAAAATTGGCCATCCAGTCAGCAACCCTATTGGCTTCTCTAAAGGTGTGCACGAGTTCTAACTGCCAGTCAAGGTTCTTCAACAGAATGACCTTCTTCACCAACCCAACTAGAGGGTGAGAGTCTGCCACTACTTCTATAATCATGTTTAGAGCTGTTTGTGAATCACCCTCCAGTATAACTCTCCTATAGCCAAGGTCCCAGGCTAGTTGAAGTCCTAAATATATTCCCCAAATCTCAGATTTCACAGAGGAACAATAACCCAGATTCCTTGCAAAATCATGCAGCCAATTTCCATCATGATCTTGTAAAACGCCACCGCATCCACTTTGTGTATTTCCCTTCTTGGAAGAGCCATCCGTGTTCACTTTGATCCAACCCAACGGGGGAGAGAGCCACTAGACCATAATCTCATGCCTTATACCATGCTGCAAGCCAGCCTTTTTATACAAAACACCAGCTTCCATAAAATTTGAAAAATACGAATAAGCTAACCTCCTAGTCTCACCCACCTTAGGAACAATGTTTTCAAACAGAAATCTGTTTCTCTCTTTCCAAATGAACCAACAGACAAGCCCAAACAGAATATTCCCCTTCATCCCTCCTACCATGCATGATTTTCCCCCCAAGTCAGTGCTCAACCATGAATGTAGAGGCAATGCCAGAAAAGCATACCATTTATCAGGTGAAATAAAATTCAGCCATACCTTTTTGGACCAGCTACAATCCCTGATAGTATGCAGGCAGCTTTCATAGAAAGATAGACATCTAGGACAGGTGCTAGAAGTAGCCAAGTGCCTTTGGACTCTCCTTTGATTAGTGAGAAAATTTTCCCCAAGGAGCATCCAAAGAAAAGTTTTGACCCTTGGGGGCCCATTCCAATCCCAAATTCTACTCCAGTGGCTTTGAAGGTGGCTGCTATCCTCACTACTCAGCAAACTAAAAGCAGATTTAACTGAAAACCCCTCATCCTGGGAGTAGTCCCATAATACCCTGCCCTCGTCTTCATTCAGGCTAGGAGGACAGATACCTTGTATGAGATTCAATGCCTCCTGGGAAATCATATCTCTAAACACCTCCCATTTCCATTCCCCCTTAGCATCCACCATATAAGCAACATTGGCATCCAACAACTCAGGAAGAATTTCCAGAATGGTATGGTCTAATAGGGGACCAATAGACAACCATTTGTCCTTCCAGAAGGCAGTACCCCTACCATTACCCACTGAAATCCTAGACCCTTCATGTACCATAGGCCAAACTTTGGATAATCCCAGCCACAAATTAGATCCACCAGATTTCATAGGAAACTTGGGGAGTAAGCTGTCTGGGACCTTGTATTTGTTCTTAAGCACCTGGACCCACAGATCATTCCTATGAGTGAGCATTCCATGCCCAACTTTCATCAAAAAAGCCTTGTTAGTCAATCTCAAGTTTCTAATTCCCAATCCTCCATTTTCCTTCGATCTACAGACCACATCCCAAGAGGTAGCATGCATCTTTCTTCTCTCCAAACTTGATCCCCAAACGAATCCCCTCATTCTTTTCTCCACTGCATCACACACTCCAACAGGGATAAAGGATGTTTGCATGGAATAAGTGGGGAGAGCAGCCAAAACAGCTTTTGTTAACATCACCCTTCCAGCCATGGAGAGAGACTTTTCCTTCCAAGCACTTAATCTGCTGTTAAGACCTTATCAAGAATGAATCTGAAAGTGTTTCTGTTCACTCTTTTATGATGAATAGGGATACCTAAGTATTTGCCAAGATCAGCCGGCCTGTAGACTTATATGCCCGATATGTATAAAAAAAGTCCATGACCTGTTTTCTAAATAGGTTTTTTAAAAAGTTTAATCCTATTCTATTTTACTATTTGTAATAGGCTAAGTCTGATCTAATATAGACTAGGTCGTGGGTCCCTGTAGGCCGACTTAGCCCATTTACACCCCTAGATAGAATCAATAACATGTTCAATAATATAATTATGGGGAATGATCTGTTTACAAACTTTTTTTACAAATTACACTAAGTATGACCGGTCATACACTCTTGATTAATGTATGACCGGCCAAACATAGTGTAGTTTGTAAATAAAAAATTTATAAATATAACTTTTCCTAATAATTATATGGGGCTTGCATTTATCATTTAACATGACACAACAAAGTTTCCTACACACACAACATTTTATGGGGCCCACACTTTTTGAAACAAAAAAAAATAAAACTA